ATTTTCAATTACTTTAAAAACTTCACTTTACTTTTCACGAGAAGGAATTTTGAAAACCAGGTATTCCAATACACATAGCTCTCTGGCAACCGGGCTCTTTCCAACTTCTAAAGAATGTTGCTTGTAATAACCTAAACGTACACTTCTGCAATTTTAGATTTTCATATTAAGAAAATGCAAACAACAATAGTATTGATATTATTGTAAGTCTGTGATTACGAACGTCACAGAACAACGCACATGTTTCAAGGATTCCTCTGTTTACACAGCTGACTCAGCATATCTGAGAAAGAGGGCTGTTCTGTTTCAGGCAGACCGTAGCAGTGTCAGTTGATTATAAATGAACTTAATAGTAGCATTTCGTCAGAAGACCTCCACTTGAGACCGTATGTGTTTTTCGGCGAAGGATTGCATGACAAATCTCACGGTTGCATTATGTTTGGATATAACGATGCGTCGCGTCATTGACGCCCCCCAAGTAGCGAGTCCGGCAGAAAGCGGGCTGCCCACGTGCGCCGGTGAACAAACTATTTTTAAAAAAATGTTATTTGTGTGTGTTCCACTTTGAAATTTCGCAGATCTATACAAAATTGGTGTACCAGTATTTTTATAATTGATGTGTTAAAATTTGAATTTTAAAAATTAAAATCTATTTTTAATATTGAAATAATATATTTATAACAATTACATTTACACCTTACACATGAAAGTACACGTTTTTAAGTTAAATTTAAATGTAATTTTTGTTTTCTGAATAAAGCGATATATGCGCAAGAAAATTTTGAATTTCAGCGAGCGTATGATTTTTTGGAAAAAATAATTGGAAATATTTTTGAAAGGGGTTGAATTGAATTGAATTATTGCCTTATTTTACGTAGCGTGACTCGGGCCATCAGGACCGCTCTTCGGTGTGACCCCACAAATTTCGCTACGCTCCTTTCACCAACTAGCGGAGAAAGGAGGTATTTCTTGGGCGACGAAACAGACTGCATGAATTTAGCTCAGAGGCATAATTTAGGCTTGAGGATCATTTTCATGCAATTAAATCTAGCATGGGACAGGGGCTTTACTTCCCCTTCGAAGGAAGGCGTGCAAAGGATTTTTTCGCCATTAAAAATGCACGGTGTCGATCGGGTTTGAACCCGCCAGCTTTGGTATAACAGTTCGATACGCTAACTGTTACATCATCGACGCCGCCATCGCGGTTGGATTAGATAAAAAGAAAAAAATACGTGTCACATCTTTTCAACCCTCGACCACAAAGTTTCATGTCGCTACAAAATAGTGATGTTCTGAGTGCGCGATTTGACGTCGAATGACATAGGTAGGTGCTCTGTGGTGTTACTTACTCTAACCATGTCGCACCTACACACGCGACAGTGATTGAGGTTGTGTGTCGCGCGAGTTGACGACTTCGGAATAACGAAACCTACATTAAGCATTTTTCATATGCATTTCGATTTTACCAATCGCCATTATCATGTACCGAGTTGAATCATGCAATTCACTGAATACGATGCGGTAAGTGAAATTGAGCTAAAAGTTGGCGATAAATCTAAAAATTACGAAAAATCTCGGTTTTCAAGAATAGTTCGCTAGCCCCCCTGGAAAAGTGACAACTTGACGTGAAGCTCTAGTAAACCTAACAGATGTACAAGGAAATGTTTCATAATTCAACTATGAATAGTAAAAGAGATATGGGCAGGAATTCAGGTTCAAGGAAACGATTAATTTTATTATCCCCTTCATGGCACATAAAATTTTAACTATTCTTTACGATAAATAAAGTTGAATCATGCTCAGATCTCCAGCAGATCCGGCATCTACCTGACCTCCAAGAGATTTGAGTTGAACGAAGATTTATTTGTGGTTTACCGACAGAAAACAAAACACTCCTGGAGGAAACACTCATTCTCCATTAGATTACGCTTACTTTTTTAACGCCAACATTTTATCACAGTATTGTCACAGCCGTAAATACAATGCCTTTAAAAACAATCTGGATCTGTTTACGTCACCAAATGAACAAAAACGCGAAATGCGAATTGTCGCCGCGCCTCTCCTCACGAGGACGTTCGCCCTTTTCTTTTGTCATAGGCCGCCTTTCACTTGAGTGCGCCCGCCGCCTTATAGGGCACCTTCACACGTCGCCGCGGCAGCGCGCGTCCGTCAAGCGGCAGGGCTCTTCAATGTGAATCGCGCGTGTGCCTTGCCACGCAGATATGTTGCAACGGCATTAACGGCGTCAATCAGGGCTACAGGCTGCCCATCTCGCAGTTTAGTGGGACTGCGAGCTGGCAATCAGCATATGCCTTACGAACATATGTTCGTGTCACTCACGCGATTACCGCGCATCTGCCAAATTAAACCACGGCGGCACGCATTGCCTGGTCATTGTGCCTGGGGACTTGGAGCATTCGCTCAAGTGTACTGTGACGTATGTATCCCATCCTCTCCGCAGCAAGATTTGAGCCCCGGCAGCAATCGGAACTCGTTCAGCGCCTGCACATTACATGTACCTGCTTCTGCCTCTGAGGTGCCGAGTCAAGCAGTTCAATTAGGTTCAAGTTCATCCTAAGCAATGGAATGTCATTCATTGAACATTTGTTAACGTTATTAGGAAATAAACTTTTGGTCATTTTGATTATGCCAAACAATTTTATAGACTTATTTGTACAGTACTAATTAAGTTTGAGAATTAGTTTTCTTTTATTAATAATTCACCGTTCGGGCCCGGCATTAATTTTGAATACAGTATAGTAGTTCTATAATTGTTTTGTTTTGCACTTTGTTTCTTAAACCGTTTGTTTTATTTAATTATGTCCATGAGGCATTATCATTCGCTCTTTATCTTCATTAATTAAAATAATATTTAAACCATTTCGCTTCATTTATCATTCGTCCGTTCCTATCATTTCCTCTCGCGAGGTGGTCCTCGAGCCCTTTATTTAGTCCTTTAGCTACATCGTCGAGCTACCGGAGGCCGATATGTGTGTGCGCTGTGCGCGCCTATAGCCAACAGTATGGTCCACGCTGTTGGCTCATCATCGTGCGTGGCGCCATGTGAGAGGTGGGTACCAGGTGACGACACGGCCGCGCGGTGCGTACCTACCCATAAATGATCCTTTGACAGCTTTTCTTACAGCTGCGAGGTTACTCTTAAAAACATTTTTTGAGATTTAATTGCAGATAATGCTGTACTTGACGGAATCTGTGGATAGGCTTCCTGTCAAGCACTGATGCATGTTGCGCGCGCAGGGCGGTGCGCTGACGGACAAGGAGCACTGAAACGGACAAGGGCCGGACGGACAGACGGACAAGGGTCACAGAATTTACAAGTTGCCATTTGGTCGGCCTGCATATCAACAAAACTATCTAGTATTACTAATAAAGCGTACAACACAATTGTAACCCATCACCTAAGGAGAGATCGACATTGTTAACTGCCCCTAAGTGTGTATTTTATTACTAGTGGGTGCATCGACTAGGAGATTTTTCCATCAATATGCAAAATACGTTTATTTGGTAGAACCAATTGCCCTGTGTACGAGGAAACGTTTATTTCGTAATACATAACAGCAATAACAAGAAGAAAAGCTGGCCAGCCCAAGATGGTACATACTCAGCAGTGGAAAATTCCGGCAGCACTTGCTGACAAGCGAATACGGTGTATGCTATGAAACTATTCATGAGAAATATTTAGAGCCATCTGATATCCCTAAAAACGACGGTTCTAATGAAGGCTTGTATTTTTCCCAAGTCAATTGTGAACATTTATTTGGCCATGAAATTCATGATACAGACATGATGCACAATCTGCTTAGACGCGAGATTGTAGAAGTTCGTGCCGTTTCGGAGAAAACACAAAAATGCAAAGATTAAAATAGTGGGAGAGACTGAGAATATTGTCTTAAATGAGGAGCATTGAAACCACTCACATTGTACATTAAAGCATGTCGCTAATATCTCAGATTGCACATTGCACATTAAAACATATCGCCAATATCTCAGATTGCACATTGTACATTAAAACATGTCGCCAATATCTCAGATTGTTTTGGAGCCAACCCATGGACTAAAAGAATTGTGAAGCGGAGGCGAAACAGGGGGCGAAATGGTTGAATAACGCACAACCGAATTGACAAGTAAGAAGCAGTACCAAATGTGAGCACGAATGAGTCAAGAAATACTTTACGTAGGGCAACTCGTGACCCTACACTACCCAAGATCCTTTGATTACAAGACAGTTGCAATCAGTGTCGGATCCTTGGTGCGGGCAAGGTAGGTAGTGCCTACCCTAATGAATGTGTTCAAGTTTCAAACATTTTAGATATAATAAACTTTGAATGACTCTTTCAGTTATAGTATAGAGTAAGTAGTTTTCTTCTGGAAATTTTAATTTAACATTTTATAATCGTAGCAACTCTATTTTCATTTGAAGCGTTTCATATCATGAGCCCGCGTGATCCGCATCGTTTTCTCTCTCACTCACGCCCCTCGAGGAAGACGCGTACTGAGGTAGTATAGCTCGCGCCATATTGTCAGAAAAGGCCAATGAGCGTAGAGACGTCCATATACGACTTCATCTGTCTGCGAATTTCTGCGATACGAGAAAGTAAAACTGTAAACCAGGTTCTAGGGCTCATTTTGTAGATTACGACACAACTCTTCCCCTTAATGGATTTATGTATTTAGATGGCACCTTTTCAATGTTGTCTAATTCCCTTAGCACTGTAATTATTCCTTTTACCCACCACTAGCATATTTACATGGTTTTATGTCAACGGCGTTTTATTAATCGTATTATATTAAAACCGCAATATATCGTTATATTAAAACCGCAAGATTTTCTTTTGGTACAGAAGAGGATAATAGAAACAGTACCAATAATAATGATAATAATAAAAATAAATATGTGTCAAATAAATGTACATATGAACGTATTATTTTTGTATTCCCCCAAGAAATAATGAGAAAGAGTACACATTTGAATACTCACATGAAAGCACCATAACATAAACTGCTCCCTTGTAAAACTTGTACTTAGTACGATGATCCTTACTGCGAAGCCCCAAGCCAGTGAGTGTAGTAGCTACTATGTCTGTTACCAATGTAATGACACAAAGGGCAGCTGCTGCTCTAATGTAAGCTATAAACAAATAAGAAACACATATTCAAGTGCTTAAAAACAACTAATTACTAAGTATGATCAGGCAATAATCAAAACTACAACGAACAGTGCAAGAAGAAACATTCAGGTGAAAATTCCAATGCATGCTTTAGTTTTAAATAATACAGTATTATCTTATTATTTTCATAACTAATACAGGACTAAATCAAAGCACAAGCAAAATTTTTCATATTGAAAAGTTGTTTTTAATGGCCATGCGGTGTTGTCACATTTATAGTCGATCATTGTATTATTGTTTGGATGCTTTGTATTATTAGATACGGTCGACTGACATTTTCAGACCTGAATATTAAATGCATTAACATCTATTCATCTTGTAACTTCGCACTAACCAACCGACTTCGCACTAACCAACCGACTTCGCACTAACCAACCGACTTCAAAGTAACTTCTCCCCATTGCACGTCACACACAGTTTTTAACCGTTTTTGACATAAATAAATTGTACATTCACGTTTCTAATTGCATTTTATCCAAATGTTATCAATGATCTATCCATTAACAGATAACACAAGAAATACTGGCATTTTGTTGAAATCAAAGAAATATAATTTCGTTTTGCCACTAAGCTGTCCCTACAACTTGTTCTAAATCGTTTGCTTTTAAAGATTGTTTGAGTAACTCTGATTTACCTCTAGTGCACCCGTTTTGGAAAGGCAAAAGGAAAGAAAATACCCAGTCCCAATTTGACCACCTCAACCATAATAAGATTCTATAGTTACTGGGTAACAGGCTGAATGGGACTAAACCAAGTAGGTAAATATTGTTGAGGGTGAATTCCTGTCCTTTCAGGAGGCTTAATTCTAGCCATAAGATTCTAATTAGAAAACATTAAAAAAGGGGGAATAAATGAAAACTTACCAACATCACGAGCCTGCCAGCAGTCCCCTGGAGTGTCATTAATGTTGAATGGGAGAGGATCATCTGCATCCTGCGTAATGCAATGCATAAACAGGCCCTGCCGCCAATCTTTTGCCATCAGCCAGTCAGTTGAAGCCAAAGCCATGATCATCAGGATGACTACTATCACTCCACAGATGAAGGCAATCACCTAAAGAAAACAAGTAAAATGTTATTTATCAAACAATCGAATTGTATATACACTGGCACTCATTACACCCTATCGCATTTTGATCAGTTGGACCAAGAATAAATATGTTTTTTTTTAAAAATGTGAATCAACACATGAAAATAATTACAGTGCAATCACAATAATGAGGTGAAAATTTCGGTGCTTGAATAGAACAGTTATCTCAATGATGTTGCTGACTATTCACTGGCAATATTTACAATTAGCACAACGCACAAAATTATAAATGAAAATATTTAAATGTTTTCACATTACGAAAAGATGGAGACAATTTTTCAATACATAATACTTCCCTCACTGGAGTAATTATTTTTACACAATGCTTATGCTACAAAAGGGGTGTTATGGCCTTTAACACAAAAATCATCAACCCTTATTAAAGACACCAACCACAAAAAGGCTTCATATAACGGCACATCTACACATGTAAGACGAACAAAGACATGCTATACTACACAACAATATCTAGCAGATTATTTTGCATTTTATAGGGGAAAATATGTACTGGAAAAATACGTAGTTGGGGTAATATTCTAAAAAAGCATGTTCAAGCACTCTACAATAAATACAATTAATTTCTCAGAGAGATAACATAGCAGATACATGTATCATTTATACCAGCTCTTCCTAGACAATGAGGTATTTTAACTATACATACACAAAGCATCTATATTCACAGTACACAGTACTTAAAGAAGAAAACATTATTGTGAACAATGTGCTCGAATAAGAATTTATGTTAGAACAGATGTATGGTGAAAAGCAAGAAGGCAAAACTTTTCTGTTGATATTCTACAATATACAAAACATTGAAGCAGGATTATATATTACATTGAGCTGATTATATATATATATATATATAGTTATATATATATATATATATATATATTATATATATATATATAAAGCAGAAAAAAATAAATTATACTTATTAGCATATACACTTAAATTCACACATTGTCCAACCACAATGACCAACATTTTCATTACCTTTTTTCATGATCGTAAATTTAATTTATTAATATTTTATTGTATTTACACTTAATAAGTGGGAATTTTTCAGTATATCGAAGGACTAAGGCAAGGTTTACAAGTCACGACTTCCCCAAAAGGATTTTGCCCATGCAATAGCATTTTAAACGAACAAATCGAAAAAAAGAACGTTTTTAACTTCTTACGAAAACAGATTTTAAAAAAATTAGTTTTAGTTTTAACCAGTTTTTGAACTTCTATTTCTTCCTCATGTTGGCTATAAACCTGAATGAAACTTATCTTACTTAAAAAACTGCTGTTTTAACTATAATAACTATTTTTTCAAATATGTGTACATTTTCAGGTTTTTAAACAAAAATTATAGACCAGTATACACTGAAGAGCCAAAAAGATTGGTACACCTGCCTAATACCGTATAGGGCCCCCCACGAGTACGCAGAACTGCCGCAACATGACGTGGCATGGATTCCACTGTTTGATGTACTGGAGGGAATCTGCACCATGGATCCTGCAGGGCTGTCCATAAACTCTCGTGAGTAAGAAGGGGTGGAAATCTCTTCTGAACAGCACATTGCAAGGCCTCCCTGATATGCTCAATATATGTTCATGTCTGGGGATTTTCGTGGTTAGTGGAAGTGTTTAAATTCAGAAGAGTGTTCCTGTAGTCACTCTAGCTATTCTGGACATGTGGGCTGTCTAATTGTCTTGCTGGAATTGCCCAAGCCCGTCGGGGTGCACAATGGACATGAATAAGAGCAGGTGATTAGACAGGATGTCAAGTACGTGTCACCTGTCAGAGTCGTATCTAGACGTATCAGGGGTTCCACATCACTAACTGCACATACCCTATATCCTCACAGAGCCTCCACAAGCTTGAGCAGTCCCCTGTTGACATGCAGGGTCCATGGATTCATGAGGTAGTCGCCATACTCGTACTCATCCATTCACTCGAAACAATGTGAAACAAGACTCCAGGCAACGTGTTTCCAGTCTCACAAGCCCAACAGTCGGGCCTTCGGCTCCGAAACCCCGTATCAATAATGTCACGTTGAATGGTTCGCACACTGGCACTTGATGGTACATCAGAGAAATCTGTAGCAATTTGCGGAAGTGATGCACTTCTGCCTCGTGTAATGATTCTCCTCAGTCGTCGTCGGTTCCGCTCTTGCAACATCTTTTTTAAGCTGCAGCGATGGTGGAGGTTTGGTATTTTACTGGATTCCTGGTATTAAAGGTACACTCGAGAAATGGTCGTACAGCAAAATACAAATTTCATTGCGACCTCGGAGATGCTATGCCCTATCTCTCTTGGGCCGACTATTACACTATTACACCACGTTTAAACTCTCTTAAATCGTGGTAACCTGCCATTGTATCAGCAATAACCGAAATGTGCGAGACGCATTCTTATTTATAGTCGATACCCACTGGAGCGCCGTATTCCGATTGGTACCAGATATCTTTATTTTATTGCGCATTGGTATAGCAGTTATTTTGACTCTTCAGTGTATATTACTGGTAGAAATCGCTTTGGCATAAACACGAACATTTTTCCAATTGACCCTGCACGATGTATACATCGCGCAGGGTCTTATGTGAAACAGAGCTGACATAATTTACACAGCAATTCTGCTTATTAACAAATTGGTGTTTTTCTTAGCTTGTGTCTGAAAAAAGGAGAGTTCTTTGGCAATACTTAGAAATATTTTTGGCTTTCCAACTAACTATAAGCGCAACCTTCTGGACATTATGGAGAAATTTGTGTACAAATGAGACATGTCTCAACAAAATGTCATAGGAAACATTTGTTCATCTGCGGAATATGTTTTGTGACCTGAAATGGCTTTCACTGTTTACACCGTAATTTATTCAAAATTAGGGTTGTGGTAAGTTTTAAAAATTATTTTTTTAATATTTAACCTGGAAACTTTCTTATGATTGGGGCAAATGTTTTATAACCCTATTGAAATATTTAAAAATATTGTTTACAAAATATATAAAATATAATCGATTTTTTGGAGATGTCAAAGTTTTCACTAATGGTGAAAACAAATATTTTCTTAAATTGTAGCTAAATTAACATTTGGATTACTGATCGAAAAAAATGTTCATCGACGACAACACTAAATTGGAAATAAATCTCAAACCGTCACATTAGCAATAAATACATCTAATGGCCCGTCAATAATTGCATAACGAAAATTTGGAGCATTTTGAATACTCCCATTCCCCCCTCCCTGAGAAACGCGCGCTTCAACTCCCCCTAAATTATTACGTAACATACGACCAGACCCGCAACTTACAAGTAATAAATCATGACGTAGTCACGAGTTGTATGAATTTTGTGTTGTGTATTAATTTTTTATGATAACGTCAGAATTAGCTATGCGGATTGCACCTAACAAAAAGACTGTGCACAATTGTTGAATTGAAAAACACCATAGCGAGCAAATCTCTGACAAACTGTTGACACGCCGTCGAGGATGACGCATTGGAGTCTCCTTTGCCAATTTAACTGGCTTCTATAATATACTATAGATTAATTTTGAATATTTTCTTCGTAATCTAACAGATTCAATTAACGTTTTGATGAAAAAATTCATTTCAAAAATTACTGCGCAAAAAATTAATGTAACAATTTATACATCGTAACAATTTGTTAATATTTTAATGTGTTAATATGACTGAATAAATGGAATTATTTCGTTAGTGTTGGAAAAATTTTAAAATAAATATCAGCATGATGTACCAAAACTATTACCGTCCTCCCCGTATGTAACGCTGCCTCAAGCCCTCTCTTTAGCGTTACGTAATTTCTGGACAACGCCTAATTAATCATCACTCAAAACTATCGATCTTCATACATAACATACATTCGTACTTCCCTTAATCCATCGTCTAAAACCGCACTCAAAACACCTTGATCAGGAGAAAATATAAACGGCTATTACATTATTACATTCATCCATCTTCCAATAGCCACATGAAATATTATACATTTACTTTCTTTTCATACATTAACAGCTATACACTCCTCTCCTTAATTCAGAAGATAACAAAATATTGAATAACATTCTCTAATAGTAGTTAGCATTGGAATAAGACAAAATTGATTTTAATCACTTTTATCAGAACCATGGCTTGTTGAAAACCAGGCAATAATACAAGTTTTTATGCCTTTCCACTACCATATAAATAAGAACAATGTAAATGTTGCTGAAGCTAGTTTTCATTATCTGTTTTGACACGATCTACATTTTTAATGGAGAAACGTTCCAGCAATTTGGGCGATGGTGTAACGGTTAGCGTACCGGACTGTGGTACCCAAGTTGACGGGTTCAAACCCGATCGAAGCCGTGAATTTTTAAGGGCAAAAAAATCCTTCGTACTTCCTTCTGAGGGGAAGTACCGCCGGCTGTCCCATGTTAGTAGATTTACTTGCATGTAAAAGATCCTCAAGCCTAAATGACGCCTCTGAGCTAAATTCAAATCGCCTGTTTCTCGCCCAAGAAATACCTCCTTTCTCTGCTAGTTGGTGAAAGGAGCGTAGCGAAATTTACGTGGTCAGACGGAAGAGCAGGCCTCATGGCCTGAGTCTCTCCGCGTAAAATAAGGCATTAATTCAAATTCAATTTTCGCTGCTGGGCGAATTATTTTAGATAAATGCCAGGATTGACACAAGCAAAAAATATCATTTTCGAAAGCATCTGCCCGTGTGGCATTTAAGCAATAGCAACACCATCTTGAGATACTGTTTACAGATGCACTTACAGTTTGCAGTATAATGTAGACAAAGATTTTTCTGTTAATGAGTCAAGATGGAACTATTACTTTTCGAGTCATACTACTATCAAGAAGATACTGGACGTTTATGCGGTTAACCTTATTTGTAAATGCAGCTAACAAGGGACCAAGAACATTCACTTTCCACTATTCAAATCGACGGTCAATCCATTTCAAATTTGTCA